CACCTGACGGGCTCCGCCGGGCTTCGGCGCCGCCGCTCGGTGCAGAGCGCAGCGGGAGCGCGGACGCCCGCCGCCGCCGCCGACCCGGTCTGAGGCTCCCGCGGCTCCCGCGGCAACGTGAGGAAAATATTTCAAAACGAAGCCCCCTCAGGTTCACGCAGTCGCCATTGTCGGCGCGGCGCGACGTCGCGGCGCGGACGGCGTCGACACGCCCACGAGTGGCGTCAAAAGACGCCGACGCACGGCTACGGCCTCGGAGGCCTGAGGGCGTGGCGCCAGGGACGCGCGGCCGCCGCGCGCGCACGCCCACCGGTGTCTGCGGCCGGCCAGCTCGCGGTCCGCGGGCGTCCGCAACAGCTCAGGGGCTCCGGGTTCGGTCGGGTCCTGGGCAGAGGAGGCTGGCTTGGGCCCCGGCGGGGGCCCGAAGGAAGGAGTGGGAATGTTCCACGCAGCGGACGCCGGGCGTGCGTCGCGGCGGCCGCCATCTTGGGGAAGTGGGTGGGGCGGGCAGGGCTGATTTCCCCGGCCGGGAGAAAGTGACGCACCGCCTTCGCCCCAAGGCCCCTCCCCTGCGCAGAGGCCGGCTGTTGTACTGACTTTGGAGTGATTGTCGCAGGCAAGACACCTGCTTTTGTTCATGTTTGGTAGCCTAAGCACCTGTCACGGGGTCTGGAGTCTGGTGCAGAGCGAATGAATGAATTGAACCGATGAGCTCACCCCCTTTAGGGGTCTGAAGCTGCAGTTCCCAGTGTGCGAAAGGGAGAGGAACAGCAATTTCCGACCATTGTACCCTAGGATGCACAAGTGCGTGGACCCCAAACTTGAGGCATATGTGTAAACATTCCAGTGTAAACACCAGCTTTAATGGATGGCTGACTCCACTGCTTTGTCTTTTAGAGGATCTAGTGACAAGCTCAGGGAGCAGGATGGTTGCCGAATGATAAAGTAAAAATGCAGTATGGTGACACTCAAATACTATTGATGCCCCTAACAAGAACTGGTTTTGTGTGGGGGTTATATTTTATAATATTTGTTGCTCTAATACTGTCATTTAAAATAATCCATTACAGTATGTGTAAACATTAATAGCATGACTCAGACTAGTCAGTGGGGAAAAGCTTCCCAGAAATTATTTATTTTGTGAGGTACAGTGGTGCACATCTGTAATCCTAGCACTGAGGAGGCTGAAGCAGGAGGATGGCTGGGAGTTTGAGGTCAGCCTGGGTTACACATAAATGAGCTCAAGACCATCCTGAACTAAGTAGTGAGACTGCATGTCTCAAAAAAGAAGAAAAAATATTCTACCCCAGTAACCTTTGCATACAAATAGTGGTGAAGTATAGGTTCTACAAAATCCAGGCTCCCAACATATCATGTGTGAATTAGGTTTTAAGTATATCAACGGTTTTATTTATTTATTTATTAATTATTTTCAATGTATTTGGTACAGGGTCTCACTACGCAGCTCGTACTTGTAGTGATCCTCCTGTTTTCAGCCTCCCCATCACTGAGATTGCAGGCATGCACCACCATGCTGAGTTTCTGTGGCTGGCTCCGTGTGACCCGGGGGTAGAGCCACTGTGGCATGTGTTGCTGGAGATTGAACTTACACCCTGAGCTTGCCTAGGCAGGCGCTTAGTCCCCTGAGCTATCTCGCTGGCCCTAACAATGGTTTTAAATAGCAGTTGGGGCAGGGCTGGGGTGATAGCTCCATGGTCTAAGCGCCTCCCTGGCAAGCACAAGCACCCAGGTTCAATCTCCAGTGCTGCATGCCGTGCTGGCCCCAGAACCCTGGGTGTGTTGTGCTTGTCACCAAAACCAGGCATGGTGGTACACAACTCTAGCCCCAGCTCTGGGGAAGCTGAGACAGGAGGATCACTGCAAGTCTAAGCTGCGTAGTGAGACCCTGTACTAAATAAATAAATAATAAAAAAGTTTTAAAAAATAGTAGTTGGGACTCCATTTCGTTTTCAATTACTTTTTTTCTTCATAATGTTTGGTATGAAGTGTTGGAGAAATGAATTAGCATGAATTTTTATAATAGGAGTTTTGTTAGGCTCATTTAAACATTACTAAATATTTCTACCTGGATCCAAAAGTAGTATTGTAGCTGTTTCAGCAACATGTTACTGGTCTCTCATTTCATTTCTGAGTGAAGTCACAGCATAGGTGCCTGCTCTGTCACCGCGCCTTCCGGGCAGATGTCCAAAGAGCTTTCTTCTGCGTAGGTTCCATGTCACCCATCACCTCTGACTCAAAGGCTGCCTGGAATCTAGTGGAGTGACCTAACAGAGTAGTGTTAAATTAATGGATTTGGCTAATGTCAAGTAAGTGCTTCCTGGCATGTTAGAGTAGAACAGGGCAGGGAGACCCACATCAGGAAGGTGAAAGGCAGGACAGGGGCAGCCATCTATGCAGAAGTCTCCCAGGTTAAAAGGAGCACTGAAACATTCTAGTGTAAACACCAGCTTTAATGGATGGCTGACTCCACTGCTTTGTCTTTTAGAGGATATAGGGACAAGCTCAGGGAGCAGGAAAAATGCAGTATGGTGACACTCAAAAACTATTGATGCCCCTAAAAGCGCTATCAAAGGGTCACTGTTACCATTATAATGGAGCAATAGAATTGGGATCCAGGCAAACTTGTACCTTCCATGCCATGCTCTTTGGCTGACACCTGAAAGTCGCATTTTCATAATGCTTTGGTCTATGAAGCCTGGTCTCTGTTTTTGCTTCTTTCCATGTATTAGTAGAATAAATCCCTAGTAACATAGATGACCTCTGCTAACTCCTAGTACCTGGAAGCATCTCTGTTAACTCGTGTTTCCAAGATATTTTGCAACTTACAAAACCATTCAAGGTAGCAAAGTGAAAGAGAGACCAGCAGTGGTGGTGAACCACTGTGCCTCAACAGGCTGTTATCACTGAAATCTCTAAAAGGTTCGCCATCCCTAATCTAAAGGTAGGGAATGGTTCCTGGAGCCCCTGGGACACACTGTAGATGGGCTACATGAGAGACTACTGCTCCTAGGAAGAGGAGCCGGTTGAAGTCCAAGCAGCCAGCTTCTCTCTAATAAATTAACCTACTAAAGCAGAAACTGTTAACTTGAAGAAGTCACCTATGTGGACTAGAAAGTCTTTCAAAAATATTAAGGAACTGTATCAAATTAAACTTTCAAGTAGACTTTTCAAGTCAACACTGTACAAGAATACTCTTGTCCCCACATCCTCTAATCTTAAGTTTTAGTGAAAATATATGCAACTCCTAACAAAAAGATGGAAGGCAGGCTGCTGTGGCACCTACCTGTAAGACGCAGTTACTGAGGTGGGTGAGGCAGGAAGAGCACACACTTTCATACAGCCTGGGCAACCTAGCAAGAGGAGATTTCTCAAAGTAAAAATTTAAAAGTGGGGAGAGGGCCAGCCTTATAGCTCAGCAGACTAAAGCGCCTGCTTAGGCAGAGCACAAGCCGGGTTTGATCCCAGGCCTGCTGTGCCGCGGTGGCGCGGGCCTGTAAGCCCAGCACTTGGGAGGCTGAAAACAGGAGGATCACTACAAGTCTGATCTATGTAGTGAAACCCCATAGGCCCCATAGACCCTGTCCTAATGACAGAAAATATAAAAGTGGGGAGGATGTACCTCAGTGTAGAACAGTTCCCCAACATGACAGAGGACCTGGGTTTGATCTCCAGTACTGAAAGCAAGCAAAAACAAATTTAAAAAATCAGAAACAAAACTCGGATGGATCCTTCACCTGATAGTTAAAATTGCAGAAATTCTTTCAAACCAAATTTACTGTCCACAGCAGGCACACCAGTGTTAACTTCTAACACTTTCCAGTGTCAGTGATAGAGACTTTCCTGCTGGCTGTGTTTTGGGTATACATAACTCCGTGCCTCCATTTCTATGCTTTATAGTGTATTATTATGGCCTGTATCCTAAATCTTGGGCATGGGAAGACCCTGAGCAAAACAGAGGCTTCTGCAAAATTTGTTTCGTCTTGCTTTCACTACTGTCGCCCTGTAGGACTCTCCATTGACATGAAATCTGTAGAAATCATCCATTTCAGGTCCCATAATAGGATGTATGCAAGAGATTGTGGATTGTGGCCTACTGGTGAGATTAGTCCTGACAAGGCTAGTCTGTTGAAAGAGAGACATTCCCTCCAAAAAATCAGACACAGCCACAACTTTTTATTTTTTATGTGCTTAGTACAGGATCTACAGGGTCTAATTATACAGATCGGACGTGTAGTGACCCTCCTGTGTTCAACCTCCCAAGCGCTGGGATTACAGGTGCGTGCCACCACACCCAATCTCAGTTGCTGTCTGAGCGTACCTGAGGCGCGGGGCCAGCACTGCAGGCTGGGAATCAAACCTGGGTCCCTGCGCCTGCCTAAGCAGGTGCTTTAGTCTGCTGAGCTATCTGGCCGGCTCCTACAGCCACATTTTTTTTACAGCCACAATTTTTAATCCCAATTCTCCAGCTGTGGATGGACGGAAGCTCCTAAGAAATCATTTAAGGAATCTTTTTATATTGCTCACATTCTTAAGTTTCTGAGAGATTGGTCACAATGTAAAAAGAAAAGTTCTTTGAACTCCTGTTTTATGAACTGCTAATTGGCTTCCTTGGTTTTTGTGACCTGGGCTTTTCTTAGGTCATTTCTAAAATGCTGTGCTTAGGAAAGTAAAGGTATAACATTTGCTCAGGTGAAGAAAATGGTAAAAATATTTTGGAGTTCTGTGACTTGAAAATAGCTCTGAG